GCATGGTAGGAGACTGGTCAGAGTACTGGCAGAGCAGGTCTGTCTGCCTGATCTACAGGCTGGGAAGTTGGTGTGGGGGGGGGACCACCTGGGGAGGGACTTAGGGATCTATGGTGGAGTGTTTATCCAGACTGGGTAAGGAAGCTAGTCCAAGGATATGAGGTGAAGGAATTGGAGCCTGTCTGCATCCAAGGCTGGCAGACGACAGGGTGGTATTATGGAAATGGAAATCTTTTGCAACATGATGGCAATTAAGAACTTTTCAGCAGGAAAAACTCTGCAAGAGACAAGAGACAGGTGTGGGGAGGTGAGCAGGAGTCTCCCCATCCTGCCCCCTGTGGTTGCCCAGGATGGAAGTCTTTTTTTTTTCCAAAGTTTTGACATTCCTGTAATCTTTGAGGCCATATATTATTACCTTGCTTAATTATCACACATAACTTTTATTTAATTGTCACCTATGTGCTGTTTTGTCTTTTGTTTGCATTTCCCCACACGAGTATAAAAACCCTCCAAAACTTGAACAAGGGGTCTAACTCTTTTAATTTGTGAGTCAGTCATGCTAGCATCAAATTAAAACTTCTTCTCCTCACCTGGCTTTGGACATTGGTCTCTGATTTTTCCGTAAGAGTGGGGGTGGATGAGAAGAATGGGGCACAGAAGCACTGGGCAGGATCTGACTTACCAGAGTCCTGGCTGAGCAGGTCTGTCTGCCTGATCCAGGGGCTGGGAAGGTGGGGGGGGATGCCTGGGGTGGGATTTGGTGATCTATGGTAGGGTTAGGAAGCTAGTCCAGGAATCTGAGGTGAAGGAATTGGAGCATGTCTGTGTCCAAGCCTGGCAGAGGATGGGGTGGGGGCAGATTGGAAGAATGGAGGAAAGAGGGAGTGGGCATCATCTGACTCACCAGAGTCCTGGCTGAGCAGGTGTGTCTCCCTGAACCATAAATCATATGAATGGACTCAAAGACAAGAACCACATGGTCATCTCAATAGATGCAGAGAAGACCTTTGACAAAATCCAACATGCATTTATGTTCAAAGGCCTAGAGGGAATTGGACTGGAGGGAACACACTTCAACATACTTAAAGTCATATACAACAAACCCACAGCCAACATCATTCTAAATGAAGAAAAACTGGAAGCACTCTCATTATAGTCAGGAACCAGACAAGGCTGTCAACTGTCTCCACTCCTTTTTAACATAGTGCTTGAAACTCTTGCAAGACCAGTAAGACAAGAGAAGGAAATTAAAGGAGTAATAATTGGAAAGGGAGAGATAAAATTATCTCTTTTTGCAGATGATATGATATTATATCTAAGAGACACCAAAAATTCCACCAGAAAACTCCTAGAAATTATTAACACAGCCACTAAAGTGGCAGGTTACAAAATTAACCTACTAAGTCTGTAGCCTTTCTATATGCCAATAACAAGCAATCAGAGAAAGAGTACATGGAAACACTCCCCTTCACAATAGCTGCAAAAAAATAAAATAAAATATCTTGTTCGGAATAAACCTGAGCAAAACATTAAAGAGCTTTACAATGAAAATTTTAAATCTTTAAAGAAAAAGATTGAGGAAGACATTAGAAGATGGAAGGACCTCCCATGCTCATGGATTGGAAGAATTAATATTGTGAAAATAACCATTCTACGAAAAGCTATTTACAGATTCAATGCAATGGCAATCAAAATCCCCATGTCATTCTTCAAAGAATTTGAGAAAACTCTCCTGAGATTCATATGGAAACACAAAAGACCTCAGATAGCCAAAACAACCCTGAGCGCTAAGAGCAATGCCGGGGTGATTACTATACCAGGTTTTAAACTATATTACAGAATTATATTCATTAAAAACAACATGGTACTGGCACAAAGTAGACCTGTAGAACAATGGAAGAAAACCAAAGACCCAAATATGAGTACATGAAATTTCAGTCACCTGATATTTGACAAAGGGGCCAAGAACATTCACTGGATGAAAGACAGCATATTCAACAAATGGTGCTGGCAAAACTGGATCTCCACCTGTAGAAGAATGAAACTAAACACCTACCTTTCACCTTGCATAAAAGTCAATTCCAAATGGATCAAAAAGACCTCAATGTAAAGCCTGAAACTCTGAAACTGTTAGAAAAAAACATTGGCAAAAACCTACAAGATATAGGTGTGGGAAAGGATTTTCTAAACCGGACGTCAATTGCTCAGGAAATAAGGTCAAGAATCAACAAATTGAAGGTATTATTAAGGGAGAAATGGGAAAAATGGTGGCACTTTAAATGGGGAAACCATGGTGAAAAGGTTAGACAGTGAGAGAGATAAATAATGTCTAACTAGTTTAAAAAAAATGGAGGGAACCATATTAGTCCAACAACCTACTGACAAATTATACGTACAACTAGTTCAAGGAGCAAAATATATGTCTAGTCAATGTTTATCTGAGGATGTCTGGGTTTTGCCAAAGCTTTATCTACATAGTGCATGGTGCGTAAAAGTATCAGACTGGTGGAACTAATCTTCTTGGGTGCTTAATAGCCATACTTTGAGGCCTATACTAATCTGGTCAGAGGGACTTAAAGGACAGTTTTTGCTCCTTGCCCTCTAAGGTCAATACAGGGGACTATGCACCATCTCTCAAAATGTTCTGTAACTGTGGTGAGTCACCTGTCCTCTTGTTCAGGGAGGCCATGGAGACCCCACCAGATGGACTTGAACCAGTATCCAGTCTACAAAGAGGAGCATCAACACAGAGCGAGCATTTCCTGCATGCTTCCAAGTGAAGCCAGCCATGGTCGAGTAGGACCTTTGACTTATCTTCACATAGATGGAACTGGTAAAAGAAAGGAGCCAGAGGATCCTCCCAAGCCCATGTGACCCCTGAGGAACAGATCCTCAAATGACCTTAAGAGTAAAAATAAATTCATTTATTTGGGCCAGCTGTATGGCCTTAAACACCCAAAAGGAAAGTATAACCAAAGATTAAAGTGAGCAGTATATTTCTGTAAGAGTCCATGGGTATAGCTAAAGGCTACATAACAAGAAACAATGTCAATCAGGAGATACCTTCTTTTGAGTTGTTGGCCAGGGTGGCCAAAGGGACTCCCAGATAGTAACCCAGCATAGAACTGGGAAAATGAAAAGCAGACTCCAATCTTATCTAAAGGAATGTTGACAGCTGATTGCTGCTAGATGAGGAAGAGCTGATCTTCCTAAAACAAGGAACTCTAGATAGGCTGACTAGATTCGGTGGATGGACAAGCACTGGGGAATGGCTGAAGGCACTGACAACACAGAGGACAATGCCAGGGATGACAGAGTATATGGGCTCCAGTGGCAGTGGTGGGCTATGGAAAGGTGCCATTTGGGATGCAGGTATAAAGATGAATAAGGTTGTTTGGGATGTTCTGTATGAAATACACAAAAAATCAAAAAATAAAAAAATTAGCTATATTTGAGGAAGAAGCATGAAAATTTGCTTAATGTTAATTAGTAGATATGAAAAACATTACCATTGAAATCTACCTGATGATTTTATATCCACACTCACATGCCAAGGATCGCTGTGTGTGTAGGTATGCATGCATGCATGTGTGGTATATGTGTGAGTTAGGTGTGTGTGCATGCATGCAGCTGTATATGTGTGAGAGGTGGGTTTGTGTGCATATATGTGTGGTATGTGTGTATATTAAAACGTAGGAGTGTGTGCATGGATGTGTATGTATGGTGCAGGTGTGAGCATGCCACAGCTTATGTATGGATGTCAGAGGACACCCTTAGGTGTCAGTCCTTGCCTTCCATCTTGTTCAAAAATGAGCCTTATTGCCATTCCTTGTGCCAGGCTAGATGAACCTCAAACTTCCAGGGAGTTTCTTGTCTTTGTCTCCCATCTCCACACAGAAGCACTGGGATTACAGACACATGCCACTGTGTCCTGATTTTACATGGGTTCTAGAGGTCTGAACTCAGGCCCTTGCACTTGTGGCAAGTGCTGTACCCGAGGAGTCATTTCCCCAGTGCTGGAGCACTATGTTGTTTCTTGAAGACAGAGCCTGAAGATCTATCTGAAGGTCATTGGGAAGTTACTAGGGGAGCTGTGATATTTTGCAGCCTTTCTCCCTATTTTCCAGCTTTGCCGTCTTTCCACCCCCTCTTCCATGATGTTCCTTGAACCTTAGAAAATATGGTATAAATGCCGTGTTTAGTGCTGAGCTCTTAACTGTCAGTTATTCTCAGCAGTTTAAGCAGTCATGAGTCTTTGCATTCATTGCAGAGAAGTTTTGGCAGACTTACTTTTGCTGCCCCACTCCCTTGCTTCCTCTGCTAGTTTCTTTCCCGTTCTTTAATTCTTTTGTGATTATTAACTACCCTCCTTTTTGCCCAGCCTTCTAAATAATAATAGAGGAGCCTACCTAAATAGTTAGAACATTAGCTACTCAATCAACTTTCTTCAGATTTACAGAACCCCAAAACATCTGTTGGCTTTTGTAATGACCCAAGTTATTTTTTATTTCTATATATCAATTATTACAGAGTATGTAAGTTTCTGTGAAGTTTAACTTGCAGAAAAGTGATGTGTTCAGCACCTTGGACCCCTGGAACTAGAGTTACTGACCACCATGTGGGTGCTGGGAACCTAACCAGCCAGTGCTTTTAACCACTGAGCCGTCTCTCCAGCAACCCCATTGGCAATTTCTGAATAGATCTGACTCTTTTGAACAACTCTCATTTCCTGAGTATTGGCTTTTGAGAAAAAGTAGCCAAGACCTTAGTTCAGTAATAAAACTATAAAGATAGTTCAGAATGACAACTCAAAGGCAGGGAACTTGGAGAGATAACAGGAAGAAAAATGGATTCAAGACCTATAGAGGATAAGGAATGGTATGAATAATAATCACAGAACTATGATTAAGACCATATACAAGAGGAAGGAAATGTGGGCAAAATCCTGTCATTCAATCAGGAGGTCAGGCATGCACATGGGCCATAGAGGTATCCAGACTTCACTTCATGGAGCAGGAGGCTGCTGACTTCTTGCAAATCCAGAGTTTTTTAAGTGCACATGGGACATCATTCCAACCATCACCTCTGAATTCTGCACAGTCTTCCTCCCCAGCGTTGTTGGGCTCCCCTTCATTCCAATACTTCATGAAGCTGTAAAGTCCATGAGAACATGAGCCTCTGCCTCAGGCCGTCACTTTTGGAAAAATTCTTATTCATTTACTTTTATTTTATGTGTATGAGTGTTTTGCCTGCATGTATGTAAACGCACCATATGTGTGCAATGCCCATGGAGACCAGAAGAGGGCATTGGATCCCCCTGAAACTGGCGTTAAAGATGGTGGTTAGCCCCCATGTGGGTGCTGGGAACCAAACCTAGGTCCTCTGTAAGAGCATCTCTTAATTGCTGAACCATCTCTGAGCCATCTCTCCAGCTTGCAGCCACTCTCTGAACTGCCTCTAGTGTCTGAAGATTGATGTTTTCATATCTTCCCTGTAAGCATGTAGCGTAGCATACATGCCTTGTTCTAAACACCTCACCACATGCCTGAGTCTCTAGTAGTCTTGATACCTGAACCATGTTAACTCCCATGCTTGAGAAAAGTCCTCTTCCTAAGATATAATTTTCAAATACAAAGCAATCAATCTAGACTTCACACCCATAACCACCTTCCTCTTGGACTCTGGTCCACAAATAGCAGCACCAGTCCAGGGATAGGCATCACATTACCAGGGATAGTATTGTGATGGTTTGTTTTGTTTTGTTTGTTTGGCTGGCTGGTTGATTGGTTGGTTTTCTGAAACAGAGTTTCCCTGTTTCTCCAGCTGTCCTGGAACTCACTATGCAGATCTCATGGAGATCTACTTGCCTCTACCTCTCAAATGCTGGACTCAAAGGTGTGCACAACCACACCTAGCTATGATGTTTAGTTTTAATTATCAGTTTGTCACAATCTAGAATCACCTGGGAATGTAGTCACAATGAGGGATTATCTTGATCAGAATGTCCTGTGAGGATGTCTGTGAGAGATTGTCTTGATTACAATGAGGTAGAAAAACTCACTCACTGTGGGTGGCACCATTCCCTAAGCAGGGGATTCTAAACTATATAGGAACAAACTGCTAGCTATGTTGGTGTATACCTTACACTTAGGAGGCAGAGACAGGCAAATCTCCATGAGTTTGTGGCTAATCTGGTCTACATAGCAAGTTTCAGGCCAATTAAGGCTACATTGTGAGACCCTGTCTGAAAATCAAGAGAGTGGAGAAAGTGAATTGATCACTTGTATCCTCATTTGAGATCTTAGAGTATCACCAGCAATCTTTTCAGTGACAGTACTTCTTTGATCAGTTTGCCTTGGTGTCCCTTGATACATAGGATACTTATTTGGTTTTCATATTTTTGGTGGTGGTGGTGATGAGCCAAGGTCTCCCTGTAGCCCCAGATGACCTGGAACTCACTATGTAGACCAGGTTGACCTCAAGATCACAGAAATCTGCCTGCCTCTGCCTCTCTAGTGCCTGAATTAAAAGCATACACAACCATGCCCAGCTGTATTATATTTAAATCCCACATGAAGATTATAAATTACTCCAGAAACTCTGGTTGTAGGCACTGGACATTCAATCTGAATATGAATATGACAACTGTCTTTCTCTACTTAGCAAATGTCACAGAATCTTAGGCCCAGAGGGGCAGGAAATGGTAGAGGACCCACAATCATAGCTCTTGTCAAGAGTTTCAGAGCCCCACCCCACTCTATGGGTTTGGTCTTCTCCTTGCATCTACCTGAACAACAGAGGGGAGGCCAGAAGAGGAACTGGGGTTATAGATGGATGTTAGCTGTCATGTGGTTGCTGGGAACTGAACCTGGGTCTTCCTCAAGAGCAGCCAGGGCTCTTAACTTCTGAGTCATCTCTCCAGCTCCCCCTTTCCCCAAATCTCTTAGCATGTAGCTCTGCTTGAAGTATGACCTTCAGCACTCAAGATACCCAGACATGCTTAAGAGACCTGAGTCCCTACACATCTGTACCCTATGGACAGATGAACTCTGACTTGCATAGATTATGCACATCTGGTTTCTTATTGCACAATACTGCTTGTACTGCATATTTATTTGTGTTCTGAGTTCTGAGTAGTAGCACAGGAACTTACTCATGACTGGGTGTGATGTGCTGAAACCAGATGATAGCAGGTCATAATTGCTGATCATACATACCACCTCTTTTCAGTTTTGCATTGAAAGGCATTCATTGGGTACATGAAATCAGCTATGGTGGCAACATTTACACCATCAAATGTACACATCAGGACTCTTTATCCCAATAGAGGAAGCTATTAAGCACTGATGGGCACAGTTTTGGGTATCACCGACGTTTGATGTCCTCCCATCAGCATCAACATATTCAAAGCTTGTGTTTGGGACCTATTCATTGGCATCCTCCTCTCCTACTCCACCATCTGACCAACCACCAGCTTGCCAGCAGCCCAAGACCATGATATGGCCCCCATGAGGCGAACCTGCTCTTCATGACTTTTGATGACCACGAGTTGGGCTCCCACCTCCTGGCAGGCAGTGACAGCATCGTGCCAGCTCCGTTCAGACTTGGAGAAGAAGTAGCAGTTTCCAAGGAACAATGTCCAGTCCCAGGGACAGGGGCGGCACAGGTTGGCTGTTGGGAGAGGCAGGCCAGGATGGACTCACACTTGGACATCCATGTTCCTATGTCTGCTCAGCCTTCAAGCCCTGCAGAGTCAGGAGCATTCTTTGACACTACAACCTGTCCACTTCTGGAATCCCATCCTTACCTCAGGGGAACCCAGGAGACCTGGCTCCCTCTCTTCCAGGTTGGGAAAAGTAGGGGCTTAGAGCTCAGAACAGAGACTGGGAGATTGGGTTAATTACGTGCCAACTGTATGCACAGCTCCTATGAATACTGTATCTATTGTGTGCACAACCATTGTGAACATCAAGTACCTGCTGTATGCATGGCCCCTGTGAACATCTAGTGCCTGTTCTGCACCTGGCCCCTGTAAATACTGAGTGTTCACTATATGCATGGGCCTTGTGAGAATTGAGTGCCTACTGTGTGCAAAACCCCTGTGAGCACTGAGTTCCTGCTGTTAATGGCCCCTGTGAACTTTGAGTGTCTGCTGTGTATACAACTCCTGTGAACACTGAGTGCCTACTGTGTACATCCCCCTGTGAACACTGCATGCCAACTGTGTACACAGGCCCTGGGAACAGTTTGCTGTATGTATGGTGCAAGTGAACATTGAGTGCCTATTGTGTGCATTGCCCCTGTGAACACTAAGCACCTGCTGTGTATAGGACCCCTGTTAACATGAGTGCCTACTGTGCACATGGCCCCTGTGAACACTGATTGCCTACTGTGCATGAGGCCCCTGTAAACATTGATTTCCTACTGTGCATGAGGCCCTTGTCAACACCGAGCACCTACTCTGTGCACAGCACCTGTGAACACTGAGTGCTGTCTATATGCATGGGCCACAGTAGCACTGGTGCTTACTGTGTACAAGGACCTGTGAACACTGAGTACCTAGTGTGTCCACAGCTCCCTGTGATGACCAAATACCTTCCTTGGTATTACCTAACATTTGTAATTCATAGATAAGGAGACTGACTCTTAGAAAGTGGAGGTGACTTAAGCAAATTGAAACCACATGGAGAACATGTCAGGCCCTTGGAGACCTGTTTTTTAGTAACTCACCAACCCTAGCCTTCAACCAAGTCACTTCCACTTTGATCTTCCTCCGGTTTGCCTGCTCCTGGCTCTTGGAGCTGACAACTTCAGAGACTGTTCCAAGAAAAAAGAAACTGCAATGGTTAAACACCTACTGTGTGCCACAGACTGTACTGTGACCCCAAGGACATCATTTCTTAGTCAGTTTAATACCCTTCAGAGATGAGGAAACTTGGCACCCATCTAAGCCTGAACCAAAGAGACAAGGGGAGACAGAACTTCCTGCTCCCTCCTCTGTACCAGAGAAAAGGCCCTGAGACTCTCCTGGAGTTTGTAGAAGGATGATCACATCTTTATTTCCACCCCTTAGGTTTAGGTTACCTAAACCTAAGACCCATCCCAGGCATCTTCAACCCTCAGTCCCCTCTAACCTTTAGCAAGGACAGCCACCAGGAGAATAACAAAGAGGGAGACCGACAGAAGCTTCAGCACCAGGGGAACATGACCATGGCCTAGAAATCCTGAGGACAGAAGTTGGGTACATTAGTCCTGGATGAATGACTTTTACTCAACCTTGCACCAAAAGCTTGTCTATAATGCAAACAAGCTCATGTGCTCTTGTAACCTGGGCACCTGACCTTGATCCCTTGGTATTTCATTTGTCCCTCCACCCAAGATAGTGAATGAATGGGTGTGCTTGAACTAGCATATCAAAGTACCAAAAGCAGTGTGTTCATATTCACAGCTCATTGAAAACAGTGAGAATATGTCTAAGGGTGCGACTCTTAAAGACCAGCCTCCAGTGGATGAACCCACACCAAAGAGCATTTAAGGACACAAACCTGACTCTCTAACTCTAGATAGATAGATGATAGATAGATAGATGATAGATAGATAGATAGATAGATAGATAGATAGATAGATAGATAGATAGATAGATGATAGAGTACAGGACATTTTGTGGGAGCTAATAAAGGGGGGTAAATATTACTAGATGGAATCTATATGATCAAAATACATTGAATGAAATTCACAAAAATTCAATAAAAACAAGGAAAAGAAAAAAAACAGTGAGAATAATTGATGTGTGTGTGTGTGTGTGTGTGTGTGTGTGTACTTTAGGCCTAGGCATCAAAGGGCAAGATTCTCTAATGAGCTACAGATGGATCCAAGCTTGTAGTTTCCCAATTAATGCAGGAGAAACAATAAAAGTATGGGTGACACTTGGCTCAGGAACACAGTTCTATGAGAGATCTGAAGGAAGAAACTCTCAGAGTTTGGGTTCACTCTTGGGTTCTAAGACTAACACCAAGGGTTTAGCTAATTATTTATTCAGGTACAATTATAATGTGGAATAGAAACATTACAGTTAGGGTGTCCAGCATGACCATGTCTCTATCACAGTCTGGTTCAAGACAAGCCTCCTCTTCCTCCCCAGGTCACCTCAGCTTCCACCATCTCAAAGCTTATCATTCTAAGTACAACCCTCCACCACATAAAGATCCAGGAGTCCATGTTTCCAGTCTCAACTATCCCAGTATCCAATAGTCTAACCTCCTACCTTCCAGCTTTCCAGCACCCAAGAGCCCAGATCCATCTCTCCATAAACCAACAGTCTAGTCCCGCCTGTACCACATCCCCAGCACCCAAGATTCTAGTGCCAGCTCCACTTCCCCAGGATCCAGGAGCCCCATGCCAATGTCCATCTCTTCAGTTACCTCCTTATAACTCAAGCTCCAGTCCCTGAGACTTAACCTAGAAATTCAGGGTCTAGACTCAGGGGTCCCAGATTCCATTTTTGTCCATTCCATGACCCAGGTGCCCAGATTTTCAAGCTCTGTCTCTTTAGAACTCAGGAGCCCATTCCCCATTCTCTAACCTCCCCACAAACCTAGAAGTCCAGATCTTCAGCCTCCGCTACTTAAAGATCCACATTCCATGGATCACCTTTTGCCATGTGAAAAATCAGAAGTCTATATTTTCTGCTTCAGTTATCCCAAGACCCACTAGCCCAGAAACCCTCAATCTCTACCCCTCTATGAGCTGCTATCAGCACTTCTCTAGAATCTGAGACTCTAGATAGAAGTCCCCCTTCTCTAGAACCCAAGACTCCAGGTTCCAGGTTCAGCTCTCCAGTGCTTCATATTTCAGGCCCAGGCTCCACCCCCCACCCCAGAACCCAAGATTCCAGCTCCAGTCTCCACTTCCCCAGAACTCAAGATTTCAAGCCCTAGGTTCTGATGCCCCAAGACCTGGGATTCCAGCCCCAGGTTCCACTCTCCCAAGACCTAGGATTCCAGCCTCAGTCTCCACTTTACCCAGAATCTAAGATTTCAGCCCCAATCTCCATTTTCCCAGAACTCAAGATTCCAGCTCCAAGTTCTCCTCCCCCTAGACACAGCATTCTAGCTTCAGACTCTACTCCCCCAAGACATAGGATTCCAGTTCCAATCTCCACTCCCCCCAAACCCAAGATTCTGGCCCCGGGTTCCAAACCCCTAATGCCCAGGATTCCTGTCCCAGGCTCTACTTCCCTAAGACACAGGATTCCAGACCCAGGCTCAACTCCCCCAGAACTCCAGATTTCAGCCAAAGGCTTTACTCCCCGAAGACTCAGGATTCTAGCCCATTTCCACTCCCCCTAGAACTCAGGATTCCAAACCGATGCTCTTCTCTCCCAGAACCTGATTCCAGCCCCAGTCACCAACCTCCCCAGGACTCCAGTGTGCTCTCAATAGACACCTATTTAAGACCCCTCTCCAAGGTCCAGGAGTCCATTCTTCCAAGTGTCTGCCTTCTACCCAGGATTCTAGTCTCTCATCCTCTACCTCCCCAGGCCAGAGGAGTACACACTCACAGCCTCAACCAAGACCAGTCCATTACCCTTTTCTCCCCCTTCTCAGGATTGATACCAATTCCCATATAGGAAATTCCCCAAGTCTCAGAAGACTTTCTCAACCAAGTCTGGTGTACCTGTAACTCTCTTGAGGCCATGAGTAGGTTGGAATCCAAAGCTACTTCTGGAATATCTTGCATTGCTCATTATCAACTCTTCCTCATCTATATAGGAAGAACATCCATCAAACCCTGGGAAGGCTTGAGACCCCTGGCCCTTCACTCTGTACTCCAAGTCCAGCCTCACCCAGGACATCTGGTTGCTGTATATTTGCTTCTTCAGAGTCGTTCATGGTGGATACTGTTCTCAGTACCCAGGACTGGTATTGTTCACAACTTTTATTGGCAACTCCCTGATTCTACTCTCACTCAGGAAGAGAAAAAAGAGAACTGAGTATGGATAGCTGAGGGAGCTTAGGGAGGGGCACAGACACTTTGTTCTCAGAATGTCATACAAGGATGGAAAGTTTGTGACAAACAATTGTTGCACTCATGTTCCACCAGACATCCAACCTGAAGCCCAAGGACCACATGCAACTAAAGTCAACTATACATGCAACCCAACACAAAACAGTAAAACTACTTAAAACACTGAAACCTTAATTTTTTTGGTCTTTTTAAGACAGGGTCTCCCTGTAGCCCAGCTGACCTGGAACTCACTATGTAGACCAGGCAGGCCATGAACTCACAGAGATCCCTCTGCCTCTGCCTCCCAAATGCTGGGATTAAAGGTTTCTCTGTTGAAGTGATAAAACACTGACCAAAAGCATGTCTTGGGGAACAAAGGTTTTGTTACATCTTACAGGTTACAGTCCATCATCTAGAGAAGCCAAAGCAGGAATCTGGAGACAGGAACTGAAACAGAGATCATGGAGGAACACTGCCTACTGGCTTGCTTCCCCTGACTTATTTTTTTTTTGGTATTTTTGAGGCAGTGTCTCCCTGTAGCCCCAGTATGCACCACCACACCCGACTTCAACTACATTTTTTTTAATATTTGATTTTATTATTTTTATTTTATGTGTATGAGTGTATTGCCTACATGTATGAGTGCACCCATGTCGTGCAATGTGCAGCGTTACAGAGGTCAGAAGAGGGCTTCAGATTCCCATGGAACTGGAGTTAAAGACGGTTTGTAGCTACCATGTAGGTGCTGGGAATCCAACCCAGGTTCTCTGCAAGAGCAGTCAGTGCTCTCAACTGCTGAGCCATCTCTCCAGCCCCAACAACTACCTTTCTTATGCTGCCCAGCTCCACTTGAGTAGGAATGACACCACCCATAGTGGGCCAGGCCCTCTCCTATCAACCAGCAACCAAAAGAATATTCCCACAGACATGGCCACAGATAAGTCTGATGAAGGGAATTTCTCATCTGAGGTTCCTTCCTTCCCAGGTGATTTTAGGTTTGTGTCAAGCTGACAGCTAAAGCTAACTATGACACGTATAAAGTGCGTTCTGATCAATGTAATCCCTTACCCTCTCTAGTCTCCCTCCTACCCGATTAAATCCCCTACAATTTCCTTTCCAACATTCATTTTTATTTTTTTATTTTTTTATGAGTATATGGACTGCATGTATGTAGGTGCATGTGTTGTGTAAAGCCTTTGGAGGCCAGAAGAGGACATCAGATCTCCAGGAACTAGAGTTATGGAAAGTTGTTAGTTACCATGTGGGTGCTGGGATCCGAACCCAGGTCTTCTGGAAGAACAACAAGTTTTCTTAACCACTGAGCCATCTTTCCATCCCCCAATATTCATTTTTTAAAATATTTGTTTTATTTATGTGTATATATGTGTGACTGTGTGTATGCCATGTGTGAGGGTACCCAGAGAGGTCAGAAGAGGACCTTGGATCCCTGAAGCTGGAGTTATAGGTTAGCCTAGTTTGCTTTCTACTGCTATTATAACACTCTGACCAAAAGCAACCTGAGAGGGTAAGGATTTACTTTCATCTTACACCTCCAAGGTCACAATCCAATGTTGAGAGCAGTCAAGGAAGGAGCTCAGGCAGGAACCTGAGAAATGGAAGCATGGGCCACAGAGGAATTCTGCTTACTGGCTTGCTCCTCTGATCTGTGCTCAGCCTGCTTTCTTATACAACCCAAGACTACCTGCCCATGGGTGGTACCACCCATAGTAGGCTGGGCCCTCCCACACCACTCAACAATCAAGAAAATGCCTCACAGACATGCCCACAGGCCAATCCCATAGAGGAAATTCCCCAACTGAAGTTCCCTCTTCCCAGGTGTGTAAACCAAGACAAAAGTGGTCATGAGCCACCTGATATGGATTCTGGGAACTGAACCTCGGTCCTCTAGAAGAGCAGAAAGTGCTCTTAACTGCTGAGCCATCTCTTTAGTCTCTCTATTTTATTTTATTTTACTTTATAAGACCCACCAAGTTTAACCAGCATCATCTATGCCACCAAGAGTTTGGAACTAACCATTGGAGACTGGTGGGCTCTTCAGTGACTATACAACTGAAAACAGTGACATCTCTTTGTAACACAAATGTACTGTCTTCAAATATCAACTTTGTAGATGACAACATCAGTGAGCAACATCAATTGTTGGATATACCCCTATAAAACACCTTTAACAAAACCAGGAACTGTAGAGTAAGCTTTCTTTGTTACACCTCTTCCACCTGTAGTGACCACTAGCCAGAAGCCCCTACAGCTTACCCAGGGACACCACCCCTCAGACCCCCTGGGATTTTCTGCCTTGTTTTGCTGACAGTCTCACTTATAGTGATTCCTGTTGACTGACATACAAGACTGAATCATCATTGCTTATATTTATTAAATACAAGACATTTTCCCAACTGCTTATATGCACATTTGCTTAATGTACTCAAGTTCTGCTAGATAACCTACTGTTCATTTAACACTTGTGGGAAACCAACACAGAGTAGAGCCAGGTGTTTGCTGACAATTGAATGTCTGATTAACATTGGAGCTATAATTCTTGTTTTACATTTAAAATATTTTTATTAGGGGCAGGAGTGGTGGCTCAGTAGTCAAGAGCTTTGGTTGCTCTTACAGAGGACCCAGATACCATTCCCAGCACCTACATCATGGCTAACAACCACTGTTACTCTTGTTCCAGGGAATTTGTTATTCTCTTCTGGCCTCCATGGCACTGCATGCATGTGGTGCACATATATACATGCAGGCAAAGCACTCATACACATAAAATAAAAGTAAATAAATAAATTTTAACATACATATTTTTATTAATTCTCTGAGAATTTCATACAATGTGTTTTGATCATATTCTCCTTCCATAACTCCTTAACCCAAATCTACCCCCACCTCCCACTAACTTCATGTTCTTGTTCTCTCTCTTTCTCTTGTTTTCTTTTAATAACACATCAAGTCTGATTTCTACTGCCCATATACTCCAGGATGTGGGATGGTCCAGTGGAGTGGGTCAACCTACCAGGAGCTATATACCCTTAGAGAAATCTTGGTCATATCCATCCTGGACTCCCTCCCTCCAGCTCCCCTACCAACATCTCTTTCATCTCCCTCCCAACTGTATGTCTTTTTTGTATAAACCACTGAGTCCAATTAGTGCTTTCCATGTGCACATGGGTGTCGGGCTATCCACTAAGGCATGGGCAACCTACTAATGGGAATGAAACCCAGGCTGTAGGCTTGGCAGCAAGCATCTACCCACTGAGCCATCATGCTGACCCAGGAGAGGAGATGGAATGCAGCAAAACAAATGTGAAAGGGGAGTATAGCTATTGTGGGGTTAATGGGGGTAAAGAGTGGGAGGGTAGAGCAGAGAAAGGAGTAAGAGGAGGGATAACTAAGGCTAAAGGCCTTAGTCATGTGGAAACCTACTATGGAAGTTGCTCTCAATATAGACATATACAGTATAAAAAGTTTAAAAATAGTTACCTATAACAAGGGTTCAATGGCCTTAACTGACTAGCAAATGAAAATTCCAATGCCATGAATGGACTTCCTCTTTTGTAGTTGTTGACCAGAGAGATCCCATAGATTCTCAAACAGTACTGGCTATTGCCATTGCACTTGGTTACCCACCAGTGCTCGATGGTAAGACCCTATTGCTAAAGACAGTGCATATCTGAGTCACAGAACAAACAAAGAGAAATCAAACTGTTACTGACCCTGAAGTTTCATCTCTGCTGGCTAGCTTTCACAGTACTAGAAGTTACATGCATGTTACTGACAAAGAAAGATAATCATCAACCTCACCTAGATGAGAACCCTATGAGCTACAATAAAAATTGACTTGGCAAAATATGTCCAATGGTGCAATAGTGGCACAAATATTATGGGAGAGACCACCTTTTAGTTAGATTTAAGATCTGCTTCACAATATGGATTCTGTATCTGAAACTGTTTTCAGGGCCAAGAACCTGTGGGCTAGACAGGTCACAGACCACAGGAGAAAGCCTATTACTATCCTTCTGCTAAATAGACATAGTATCAAACAGATTCCTAATGGTTTATTGTCATACTCCTAGATTAGTGAGTCTCTCAGCTCTCACCAGGGGTTCTTCTTGCAACAGATGATGATTAGAGACCCACGGATGGTCAATATACAGACCATTCTCAGACTTAATGGGACACCTATATCACATCTTTTCCTCCCAAGGCTCAGGGATCATTGCAGAAAAGGTGGTGGATGAATACAAGGAAAATGTGTTGTCTGGACACCATGGGTTGCACATATGAACTCACAGTACTTCTGACAGCATACCTAAGATCTGTGCAAGCCCAAGTCAGACAGGATGCCGGTATGTATGGGGGAGGTGGGTATTCACATGGCATACATACACACACACAAAGAAAGAAAGAAAGAAAGAAAGAAAGAAAGAAAGAAAGAAAGAAAGAAAGAAAGAAAGAAAGAAAGAAAAGAAAATCTTAAAATGCATCCGTGGGATCAACATTTGGAGAAAGGCCTCAAGAAATCTGTGGAGTGCTTTTATTATTTTTGTAAGCATGTAAAATAATGGGTTTCAGACTGAGAATCTGGTTCCATTGGTAGAGTGCTTGTCTAGCATGCACCAAGTGCTGTGTTCTATCCCTTGCACCACATAAACCAGGCATGTTGATGCATGCCTGTAATCGCAGAACTTGGCAGACGTAGGTAGGAGGATCAAGAGTTCATCATCCTCAGCTACACAGTGAGTTCAGGATCAACCAGAGACAGTCACATGAGACTCTGTCTTTAAAAATAAATACAGGCCAATAAGATGGCTCAAAAGGTAAAGGCACTTGCTACCAACCCTGTTGTAAAGAGTTGGATCCCCAGGACCTACGCAGTGGAAGGCAAGAACTGACTCCACCAAGTTGTCCTCTGACCTCCACACATGTGAATGGCATATATGCATTGTGTGTATGTGTGTGCATGCATGTGCACACACACACACACATACACTAAATAAATTAATAAAAAATTGGAATGATAAGGTAAGGTTGGGGAAAGGCCCAGTAGGCAAAGTACTTGCCATGCAAGCATGAAGACCTGAGTTTGGATCTCTAGCACACATATAAAAAGCCTGGGTATAACTGGGCATGGTGGTATGCTCCTTTAATCCCAGCACTTGGGAGGGAGAGGCATGTAGATCTCTGTGAGATCAAGGCCAGCCTCAGTGAGTTCCACACCAGCTGGGACTTTAGGGAAACCCTATATCAAAATTAAAAATAAAAAAGCCTGGGTGCATTGTACACATCTGTAGCCCCAGTGCTGGGTGTGAGGGTCAGAGATAGGAGAATTCCTAGGGCTTGCTTCCAGTTAGTGTGGTCAATAGGTGAGCTCCAGTTCAGTGACAGACTCTGCCTCAAAACATCAGGTGGCAAGCGACTGAGGAATATATCTGACATTGTGACACCTGGCCTGTGCACACACATGTACATGCACTTATACACATATAAAAACATATACACAAATACATCGTGTACATACAAAATAAAGAATAAAATTTGTTTTTATGGCATTTTCATATATGTATACTATTAGACTTTGCTCATGTTCATCCCGTCACCCTTCCTTATTCTCCCTCAGACAGGTCACCTTCTTCCTCCCAAGTAGTCTCCCTTATGCATATATATATATATATACACATATATACACATACATATATAGCTAGATATAGATACAGATATAGAATTTTAGGCACAATAATGAACATTTATTGGGGGAAAAGGTATTGCAAAAACAAAATTTTAAAACTTTACAATTATCATAAACATCAGAATATTTGAGTAATGTGGTTTTTAAGTTTATTTATTTAGTGTGTGTACACACAACCGCATATGTGGAGGTCAGTGGACAACTTGCAAGACTCAGTTCTCTCCTTTCACTATGTGAACTCAGGTCATCAGGCTTATTGGAAAGTGTCTTTACCCTCTGAGTCATCTTGTTGGCCCCATAATATGGTTTTAAAAAACCAATGGCTGGGGCTGAAGAGGTGGCTTAGCAGTTAAAAGCACTGGCTGCTCTTGCAGAGGACCCACATGGTGGCTAACAACCATCTGTAACTCCAGTTCCAAGGGATCTGATGCCCTCCTTTGGCCTCTGAAGGCATTGCATGCATGTGGTACACTTACTATGTACAGGTAAAATACTCATATATATTATATATATATAATACTCATATAAATAAAAGATGCTTTTTAAATTAAAAAATATTTTAGGGCCTGGAGAGATGGCTCAGCAGTTGAGAACACTGGCTGCTCTTGCAGAGGGCCTGGGCTCAATTCCTAGCACCCACATGGTGGCTGAAAATCATCAGCAACTCTGGTTCCAGGGGAGACAACACCCTCTTTCCTGGCCTTCATGGGCACTGCATGACACAGGTGCACTTACAAACATGCATGCATAACACTCATATACATAAATAAAAATAAATAGTTCTGTATGAAATACACAAAAGTTCAATAAAAAATTTAAAAACAAAGAAAAATAATAAAAATAATATTTTTAAAAGAAAATCAGAAGTCCAGTTATCAGAGTGATCCAACTCAATTGACAATCTATACCTCCCAAAATAATGCTCAGGCCCCTCTGTAGGAACAGAGATTCATGCAAACTCAGTAGTACCCAGCTCTATCTCTTCATTACCCCAAAGGGACCTGACTCAAGCTGAGAATGGCTTCAGTTTTGTGCAGGCCACACAGTCACAGATCACACAATCTTCTGAAGGTGCTATGGGCTCTGCGGTGAATCCTGACTCACCTTTCACTTCTAGTATTCCCCCCGCCCAATGAAACAGTTATCTGCAACTCCCTTACAGATGACAACCAATCAGCATTCATCCCCCATGGCTTGAGTCACCATACAACACAGCAGAGTGTTATCCATGGCAGAATACCCCTTTAGCATATACATCTTCTGGGAGCACTTTGACATCCATTCTTTTGCTCACAAGTGTGGAGAATGAGGCAGATTTCTATTCTTCTTCTAGCACTTTCTTAACCATGTCCAGCGCAGTCTCTATACCTCCCCCAGTGATCAATGTCTTCTGTAGTCTGAATAGTGGCAGTAGTCTGGGCCTTAGCCCAGCAACTCTACTGTCATGGTCTCAACTCAAAGTCCAGTTGCTATGACTTCAGGAAAAGCTCGGGTTCTGCAACTGTTCCCTGTTCCATGTATTATGGTTCTGAGGGTGTTACATGCCTCCATGACACAAGTAGATGGTTACAATGACTTACAGATGCTTCAGACAGGATTTCCATTGGATTACTGCAGTATCCCATTTCCCATACCCACAACTCCACTGACTGGGAGGGATGGTGGCCTGGCCAGCAACCCTTATTCTGGTGACCTCACCAAGTTTGGCTGTGGGGATGCCTTCTCTCCAGCCCCAGCTACAACCTTTGCCCAACCTAGCAGAACCAGATGCATACTCCCCATACCATGCAGCAGACATCCCTGAACCAGGTGCTGCCTCCTGGCTACACTTACATCAGCCTGACATACCACACATGGGTCCCCAGCCTCCCCCAGCACCTTCCAGTATGAGCCTGCTGTGTTCCCTGTGCCTCCTACCTCTTCCAAGCAGTGTGGTGTAAATGTCATTTTGAATGTCTCAACCACCCCTTTCCAACAGCCAGGTGGCTATGAGTCTCATGGATACGACACTGGAAGAAAATATCTATTCCCTTACAAGCATTTCTAGATGGCTAATTTGGCCCAATCCTGGGGACTCGTGTGTGTGTGTGTGTGTGTGTGTGTGTGTGTGTGTGCCCTGAAGTCTTGTTTCAGAAACCAGACCATTGAGGTCTGGGCCTGCTAAGCTGAGGCAAATGAGTAGGTGAACACCTCCAGGCCTTTTGAATTTCCTCATCCTCACTTCCTTCTCCCACATGTGTCTGACCCTGTATTACCCATTTCAAATTCAGGTGGTGCAGCACCTCCAAAGCATCAATGCATGCATGCCTGATGTTGCTTTTGATTTCTGGAAGGTTTGTAGTTCTAACATGTAAGAAAAATATTTGTAGTCTTCAATAAACTGTGGGGGGGATAGTCTTTGAGGGTCTCACTAAGTAGACCAGGCTGGCCTCGAACTCACAGAGATCCACCTGCCTCTGCCTCCAAGTTCTGGGATCAAAAGTGTATGCCAACACATCCAGCAAGTATGGAACATTTTATAAGCAAGCTTTCAGTTTTGACTCAAGCTATCTGAAGTTAGCATCAGATTCTACAACTTGGAAGGTATATATTGCCTTCTCCAGATAGAATCCACCAGCATCTCCATGTGCTCAACAACCTGGGAGGCCATCAGCTCTTTTCATTCAAGAGTTCTTATTGAGCTCAATCTCTGACTGCCTCCCTATCTGGAGATCAGTGGAAGGGCCTGAAAATTTAACTTTTTAATCACTGAGATGTTCTTTCTAGTTACCATCCCATTTTTGAGGATTCCTACCTGCTACTCAAATCACCTCATGACCATAACTCAAGTATGATCACAGAAGTCTGTTATAAATCACAAAACAAACACATCATCATGCAGCGATCCAACAAAGAACATGTCTATATTACAATGTAGATGGTAAATGATTGACAGATAATTGATAAATACATCGATGATAGGTAGATGATAGATAGGTAAAAAGAAAAAATATAGATGATTGATAGATGACATATAGATGGTAGAGGGATAGATTATTGATACATAGATGATAGATAGATGATAGAAGATAGATAGATGATAGATAGATAGATAAATGATAGATAGATGGTTGTTTTAGTTTGCTTCTCTATTCCTGTGACAAAACATTCTGACCAATACCAACTTGGGGAGGAAAGAGTTTATTTAGCTTACATATTCCAGGTCACAGTTCATCAGGGAGCCCAAAATAGGAACTCAGGGTGGAATCTGGGGGCAGGAGCTGAAGCACAGGCCATGGAGGAATGCTGCTTACTGGCTTGCTCCCCTGGCCTGTGCTCAGTCTGCTTTCTTATACAATACAGGATCACCAGTCCAAGGTTGGCACCACCCACAGTAGGCTGAGCCCTCACCTCCCTCTGCTTCCCTGGGCTACACAACCCTCCAGCCTCTCTCCCAGAACCCTCTGGGCCTGGTCCCACCCTCATTTCCCTCTGCTTCCCTGGGCCTGCACGGCCGACAGCCTCTCTCCTGAGTAAGTCCACCCCGCCTTCTGCGCCTTGATGCCCCCAGCCTCATTCACCCTCCCATCTCCCCTCACCCATCTCTTCTCCTAGCCTGGATGCTGTCCCATTACTTGTCTTGGCACCCCAGACACCAGGGGAACCACCACTGCTTCCTGATCCTCTGCATCCAGACCAATCCAGTTCCTTCTTGCAGTCCCCAAGAGACCTCTGGGCCTGGTCCTGCCCTCACCTCCTTCTGCTTCCCTGAACTGCACAACCCACCAGCCTCTTTCCTGGACACCAGGGCTGACCTCTCAGCTTCCTGATCCTTTGCATCCAGACCAACCCAGTTCCTCAGTGCAGTCCCCAGGATCCCTTGGGGTCTCTTCCCACCCCCCATCTCCCTTTGCATCTCTGGGTGGCACAGCCACCAGCTGCCTGGGACCAGTGTCTTTCCTGGGCCCTGCTCCCAGGCCAGTCCAACCCCAAAATTCCTGAAGCCAAAATCTTTCCTGGAGGGATCCAGACCTTAGGAGAAAGACTGAGAGCATCTGATCCTCATCTGACTTGGGCCTCTGTGGGAAATCCTGAAGACAAAAGCAATCTTGCCACTCCAATATAAAATCGAAAGAGAGAACCAGAAGCTTAGACAATTCATGCCCCCAAAGTAAACCACAAAGACACATAAAGTTCACAAAAGGAGCAGACCTAAACTTGAAGGCTTGAGTCTCACACAAGAATCAGAAACAACAAAAGAAATTCACATGTCAAAATCACAGAAAAAAAAAATAATAACAGGAAAAACCAAAATAACATATCCCCACCATGTACCAATAGTCCTCTAGAGGAGTACAGTGAAAACCCCCTAGAGATAATGCAGGACATGGAACACAAAAAAACAATTATAAACATGATCAAAGAATTCAGTGAATTTAAAGAACACACAAAGAAATCAAAGAACTGAAGGGAGATAGAGATAAACTTCTCAATAAATTCAGAAAAGAGCTGGAAATATTGAAGACTACTCAGGCTGAAATGAAGAAGGAAATGAAACACTCAATAAGCCAATTAGAAATGACAGGAGAAAGTCTCACCAATAGGATGAATGAAATGTAAAACAATACCAAGACTAGAAGATAAAGTGGACAAACCAGACCACTCAAGCAAAGATTATGAAAAATTTAAGAAATCACAAGAATGGAATATGCAGGAATTGTGCAACACCATAAAAAGACCAAACCTATAAATCATAGGCATATAGGAAGGAGAAGAACACCAAGATAATAGCATGGACCAGATCTTCAACAGAATCATGGAAGAAAATTTCCCAAACTTAAAGAAAGACATGCCCATACAAATACAACAAGCATACAGAACACCAAACAGACAGGACCAGAACAGGAACTCTCCACGGTACATCATAGTTAAAACACTACATGCACAAAACAAAGAGAAAATTCTGAAAGCTGCAAAAGAGAAACAACAAGTCACATATAAAGGAAAACCCATTAGGATC